TTAGATAGCGTTAGTATTTATCTCTCACCGCCCATCCCTTTCCCCTCCCCCCCCTCACCCCTTCTCTTTTTAAGGATTATGATCGATTCCTTCTTCCATTTTTTATAAGATTGGAAGTCAAACAAACTAAAAAAAAAAAGAATTATTAATAAACTAAGAGGGTTTTCACAGCGAGATTCACTATGCTTCTTTTTTACTTTCTGATCGGGAAAAGATCGTTAAAAAAAAAAAACACACGGAAAACTAAGCTTCATGTTATTTTTTCCTACATATTAATTTAAAACAGTTACCTATTTTCCCTTTTTTTTTACCATTCTAATGTTGAATATCTATCTCCTTGTCAGTAGCTACTCTTTTTGTACTTACTGTGACAGAGAAAACGAGATTAATCGATGCAATGCATCATCACACTTTAAGCCTACACTAATCTTAGCGCAGCAATATCAGTTGCTTCACATTCTCTATGGTAATGTCTGCCAGATTGTTGTTTGAATACTTTTTCTTCATGTGTTCTAAAGACTGTAATGTTTGTGTTATTAAAATGTCCTTAAATGGAATACCCGTTTTTTATTATGCAATTCCTAATTAAACACTGTCCAGTAAAAAAAAAAGAAATTCGTTTTGATGGTGTTATCTTTACTCTCTCACTTTGGTTGCAGTAATTGGATTTGAGTTCATAATATACTTTAATGTTAAGAACTAAAGTTTTAATGATATTGTTTGTATATATTTCCAGTTAGACCTAAAGTCATTCTCTCAGGCTCATATTTTCATTCAGTCAGGCTCATATTTACACTCAGTTCCTCTGCATTTAATTCCATAATTCATATTCAAACAATGCAAGGAAGAAGAAGAAGAAGAAGAAGAAGAAGAAGAAGGAAAAAAATAGAAGAAATAGAAGAAAAAAAAAGAAGAAAAAGAAAAAAACAAAACAACTCCTCCCTGAAACAGAGTAAAAATTATCTTTTCCGCTGGTGTCGCAAACTCATTTCTCACAGAGAGAAGACACTGATTCTCCCTCGCTCCCCTCTCATGTTAAGGTCCTTTCCTCCCGACTCTTTGCTTACCTTTAAACCTCATTAACATCTTTAATTGGAGAGGGAAGCTGATGGGATAAGGGAATTGCTTGATCCATTTAATGAATCTTAATTCTATTACAAACAATGTAATTGGATTGCATGCCCTATTATCTGCACAATGTGAAGGGGAGAACTTACTGTGCTTGTAATCTGTAACTATGTGAAAATTCAAGCACCTTCTTTCATTTTCATCATAGTGTGTTCCGGTGCATGAACTACACTTGAGCATATTGATTTATAATGAAATGTTTGATGGTTTGATCAAGATCTTTCCTTATTGCTATTTTGTTGGTCAGATACATTTTTCTATAGATACATCATTTAAGGTATCTAATATTTTTCTACTTATAAAAATAAAGAATAGTTTGTCACATGATGAAAGTTGCCATGTTCAATACAGATAACCATCAGCATTTTTTGTTTTCAACATTGAACTCTGGTTTTATGATTAAAGTGAAAAGGTATTAATCTCCCAGCAACAACAATAATAATAGTTATGATAATATTAATTAATGACAATAAAAACAACATCAATAATAATAATAATCATCATGATAATATTAATAGTAATAATAGTAATAAAAATATTAATAATAATAATAATAATTAATAATGATAATAATACTAACAATAATAATTATGATTATAACATTGCTAACAGTAATTATATTAATGGTATTTGGGGGAAGGAATCCTCCAATATACAAGTAATGGGGAAATCAGTAAATGCAAGTCATGCCTATTAACTGACTCTTTAGTTGACTTAATGCTAGAGTAGCCATCAATGTATAAAAAAAAGTCACAAAACAAATTTACAATGAGTTATGGTTATATTTCAAAGATAAGCAAAATATTGAATAATGTTGACTATCACATTCATAAGAAATATGCAGAGGAAAATGAAAACATGCAGTTATACATACACAGATCACTGCATGAGAAGTATTTCAATAGGCATGTTATTTTTACCTTGAGTTTTCACTGTAGTGCAATAAACAGTACAAACTTAATTCATGGCATTCATAAATAATTAAAGGTTGAAAAGAAACACATTTCCAATATTTTCCTTTTTTAATATCAAATAATCAAAGTGAAACATACAAAGACTTTCCTGTTTGTAGCTAAAAGTTTTTTCCCCAATCAAGGACATGAAAACTTTTTAAAAATACTAAAATCTCATATTGTTAAGAATGTTTTAGCAAAGTGGTGTTTGTCATCCTAGACAAAAATCAAGATTTACTAATACAAATATAAAATATATGGGGACAAATCCTTTCCTAAATTGTACTGTAGATTCTTATTCTGACTATAAAAAGTGAGAAAATTGAGAACAATAAAAAAAACACAATAGGATAATAAAGATAATAATGACAATAATGAGAAATACATATCACTATCAGGACTTCCTAACTGGTATTAGG